TGCAGTTACAAAAAGGAAAAAACCCTTTTCGCACATAAATAACGAAAAAGGGCACTTTTGGCGTCTGGGGTCTGACGTGGAGGGTGGCTGACCAAGCGTTTGTTTCCGACGCTTAGGGTGTGAGAATGTGTTAAATGTAATTGCTCTGATCAACGTTCTCCTGTTCATCTTTTTATTTTAACTCCCTTGTGGCCTCCAGTGTCAAACCGAGCTATACTCAATACAAACACCCGTAAATCAGAGCAAAGAAAACGTGAGATTTGTATTTTAAGCCTCTTTTAGTGTACAGAAATCACTGATTGTGACCTGAGCGGTGTGGAGCAGATTTAATTGAGATGTAAAAACTTAGAGAATTCAAAGTTCATAAGAGAGCAACCTTTCCCTGAACCTGCTGGCTAAGCCTCTTAATGCTGCTCATATCTCTTGTTCCCTGGCCGCTATCACCACGAGGCTCAATAACACCTCGTTTCAGCCCATTCACAAAGGGCAATTGAATGACATTATCAACAGCCGATAAAGTATTTCAACTCAGCTGTCTAAGCCACTCGTGTGAAAAAGTGTCTCCATTTATTCATTCCAATAAAACCCTGCTTTTCCTGAGTGGATTAGTGTTGAAGGGGTAGAACACTGGGGCTGGGGTTAATATGGAAAAGATAAATCTGGAAATGCATTTCACATGCTCTTCTGAATTTAGATCAGTGGAACACTATTTAGCATTTAAAGCAGCATGTAAGGTCACCTCAGAAGTTTGAATTAAATTTAAAAACAGAAAGTTTTATCTTTCCCAGCAAAGACTGTGTTACATAAAACAGTGCTACTTCAATATGCTGCATACTAATGAGGGAGATTATGAAAACTGTGCAGAATACTTTTTACTGTAATGTCTTTTCAGAAAAACACATTACAAGCCATAACCCACGTTACAGTTTCATCAAACGCATGGTCTCGCTGTGATTCTTGGTTTTTTGGAGCTCATTTTTGGCAACAGCAGGAACCCCGGGTCTGAATCTCTTCATGTCCCCAGTGAGTCGTGGAGGATGGCTGCTTATACTGAGCCAGGATCCTCTGGAGGTTTCTTCCTGTTAAAAGGGAGTTTTCCTCTCCACTGTTGCTTTATGCTTGCTTATTATGAGGATTGCTGTATAGTCACTGACACTAGTCAGTGACTTGATGCAATTTGCTGGGTTCCTTATATAGGAAGCATTATTTCTGATTGGCTTAATGAACTGTGAATTGGAATGTTTATTATGTGAAGTGCCTTGAGACGACTCTTGTCGTGATTTGGCGCTATATAAATAAACTTGAATTGAATTGAATTGAATTGAATTGAATGTCAGAGGAGCATGTTTTCATCATTCATCCTGGATGCTCCATCCAAGGTCACTCATCACTTTAGTAAAGATTTTATTGATGTTTTTTTTCTCGTTTCACTTTCTGTGTCTGTCTGTTTAAAGTTTCCAGTCATGAATCGCCAGTAACTTTGTCAAAAAGTGTTTTCTATCATCGACCAAACCCATCCTGCTCTACTGCATGCAGTTCGTTCACAAAAACAGCATTCATTAATAAGTTTCTTTACGATGGACAAACTAGTTATTTCAATAAATCTGCAGTGGTGTCTGTCTGTTATGAATGAATGCCTCGTGAGTCTTTCTGCTTGAAAAAAGAAAAAAAAACCTCTGGTGTTCCTGTTTCAGGAAAAAGAATTTGGTAAAGAAATAGAAAAATAAAAGACATTTACCTGTATTTTGTATGTACCTGTATGTGCTGCCTTAACGAGTGAATCCCCCACTGTGGGATCAATAAAGTCTATTCTATTCTGTCTTGCAGGGTGGAAAGCAATTTGGAATTTACTCATCAACATTCATAAAACTTGAACATCATGTCTCTGATTTGCTAACAGCAATGCAACTCATCCACTGCCTTCATTTGCTCCTTTTTTCTTGGGTAAAAAATGCAACATTTAGAGTTTATCTCCACAAATAACCCAAATAGTTCGCTTCTGCTAGCCGAGACATGCTTTGTCCTCTTCGGGCCACTAAATCAGCATGGCCTTCTTTACATGTTAGAGATGTAAGAAAATATCGTTACTCTGAAACATCAGGATATTTCATGTTGTGAAACTGAATCGGTATTCAAAAGCTGTCTATTTGTGTCGTGCATATCAAACTCTGACTGCTAGGCGGCAGCAGTTTTTACTGGTTTCACTCTGAAAGAACAAGATCTCACAGCAACACTGGCTGACTCACGGAAGTGTCTGTTCTAAATGTTCCAATTAAATTCAGTCTTAATAATGGAAAAGAATGTATGGCTACAATATATTGCATCGTCTCCTCTGTACTGTGATAGACGACGCCATGTCTGCTCTGGATAGCAGCTTCAGTGGCAGGCTGGTCCAGCTTTGGGAGAGATAGTTTAGGTCTTCCCTTCCTGAGGCAGTCAGACTCTATAATGGACACTCCTATATGCAGCGTATACAGTTGTAACATACCACAACTGTCAGCACCTTTCAAGAAATAAAAAATTTACACTATCGCTGTTATGTGGAACAATTATCTCAACTTACAGTTCAGTATTTTACTCTTGTGTACTCTAGTGTGACATCGTTTGTGTGCTGCTGCTATTCCACTGTACTTGCGCTGTTGCAATAATGCAATTTCCTCACTGAGGGACAAATAAAGGTATTCTTATTCTTGTTTTTATATACAGATTATTGCCTTTGCACACCCGTAGGACATTTCCAAATCCTAGAAGAAAAATGTGTTATGTTATTAGGTTTTTCAAATATGTAAGTAAATCATCTGGAGAGACTTAGTACTGGATTAATGTAATGGTCTCAGAAATTAGATAGAAAAAGCTTTGATCAACCTCGTGGTCTTGTTTTATGGTTGTTAACAGCAGAGGTGTGACCAAGTCACAGCTTTGCAAGTCACAAGTGAGTCACAAGTCTTTCCAGTCAAGTCTCGAGTCAAGTCCAAGGCAAGTTGAGCCCAAAGCCAATGATGTGGAAGTCCAAGTCAAGACCAAGTCCTTAACTTTGAATTTTCAAGTCATAATCAAGTCATCTGTCCAACTTCAATTTAATGACAATGATAATAAATAAATTCCAGAAATAAAGCTTCTTAAAGCTTCGTTTATTTGCTCAAACAAACAGAACTGAGACAGATTATAAACAAAGTGCTGCTGCATTTAGCGGTACAAAATCAAACCCAGATTTGTGTCCATGTTGTGCCACTTTTGTGCTAAAATATTAAATATGCTCAAGTCCTCATCAAGTCAACAGATGCAAGCCGATTCAAGTCGCAAGTCATTGGTGTTCAAGTCCGAGTCGAGACATAAGTCTTTATAGATTTTATCAAGTCAAGTCAGAAGTCATTAAAATAATGACTCGGGTCTGACTTGAGTCCAAGTCATGTGACTCGAGTCCACACCTCTGGTGAACGACAAAGGTGTCTGCATGTAAGTAGGTAGCTGCAATATCGAGGCCAATAGATGGAATTTGGTGGATTGTTTGCGGTAGGGATGGTGCTGTAGTTGGACTTTTGATTGTTCATGGACACACATGCTGATTTAAAAATTACCTGCGTGGAAGAATGGGGGAAGTCTACTTGTTTCAGACAATAGCGTAGCATTTCAGGTGAAATTATAGCTTCAAGTAGACAGAATTCCACTGAGGTCCAGATGTTTCAATTTCAAAATGAATGGGTTACCATAAAGAGTAGTATCAAACGAAAAAAACCAGCAACTAAAAACATAAATTTTTTGGGGCAATTTGTCTATCAAATGCATGATATACAAATAAAATGATCAATCACAGTTAGTTTTTTTCTTTAACTTTGGAGTAAATTCCTGCTTTCCAGAAACTGGAGTTATTACTAAACTGAAAGTAAGGATTGCTTCTCCTCCCTTGAGCATTAACATTCTAAAGAATCCTTCTAACTGACATGTTCACTTTGGTTTTCTGGCTACTTAAATGCTGAGGGTTTTCGTCTAAGCTTCTAAGTGAAGTAGGTGCCTTGGGTTAGCACTTTGTAAAATAGCCAGGTTATCATAAAAGTTGCATGTGCATGGTCTCAAGAGAACTCCTGTTGCCTGGCCTAAAGCTATGCAAACTACTCAATGCTTGCAGCTACATGTGGATTTTAGGTTGGTCAACGATAAATTATAAACACTGAGGTAGATTCTGCAAAACATCAGTTCTAGAAGAATCCTGAAGCGCTTCTTTATCACAATGGTGCCTTGAACCCAGATGACTTTGTTTTTGCAAAACATTTCTGATGTCTGTGGAAAACATGCAGACTTTTGTGGTTAAGCTTTATTTTATAGAGAAAATGATAGTTATAAAAATGCCACTTTGGAGCTAAACAGTAGGATATTGGGGTTTTAGCTGGGATTAAAATGGCCCACGCTTTGGGTTCAATTGTCATCTTACATCAGCACATTTAATTCTAACACCTCCGAGATCATCTGAACAGTGATTTAAGCTCCTAAACATTGTACCTAAAGTCAATTAGTTTTCAGGAAAAACTTCTCACCGATTTGAAGAGCTTGAATTAAGAAATGAGAGTTTGTAATGGACAAAAGCAGAAACTAAACCTAACTAGCAGAAAAAGGTTTTCTTCACATTGTAAACGTAAGTTTTTTTTTAATCTGAGTCATACGGATATTAAACAAAACTTTGGATAATTGCAGTTAGATTTTCACCTTCTGTCTCTTAATATATTGTAAGAGCACAAAGACGACATCTCTCCTTTTCATTCTCTTTCACACTCATGAAATTTCTTACTATTCTTTCCTCCATTATTATCTCGCTCAATTTCACACTCTCATTGCACATTGTCTTTTGTCATCCTACATCTTTTTCTGTTTGACGTTGCTTTCTTTCTGTCCCTTATTTGTATGCCCCCACCCGCTCTTTTTCTGTCAACTACTTTTCTGTCCCTTGCACACATTGCTGCCTGGCTTATGTCTAATTTGTTCCCCCCACCCCCTCCCTCCACTACCTGCTGGTTCCTTGGGAGACGAGGGCTCTTTGGCGACAGATGATGGTCTGATTTTCATCTCAATGGCTACCCTGGAAGAGAAGCGGGTCTTGGTTGGTGAAAGCAGTTCCTCATTAGACAAGGAGTCAGTCTTTGCCATGACACACTGTCCAGGGCTCTCCTCCTCGACCAATGCCACTGTGTCTTTTACAGGGTTGCTAGGTGACATTGCCCTAGATGGCAAAAGCACCTGTTCATCCTGATTGTCTGTCATCTTTGAGGCAGAACGAGGGAGGACTTGGCCCTGACTGCCTCCTTGCCCATTGCTCTGTGGTCTTGGTGCTGCAGCCGCAATAGCAGCTTTTCCGTGGCCGGCGCCTTGGTGGCTGTAGACCTTGTACCGAATCATCAAAATGATGATAAAAACAAGCACCGAAGCAACAATAATCCCTCCAATGATGATGATCATAGTTCCACCCAAGAAGTGGCTGTGGAGAGCCTGACACTGGCTGAACTCTGTGTCCGTCGTAAAAGACAGACATCCCAAAGGACGTGTTGCAGTCAGCGACGTGATGACATCATCAAAAACGGCCAGGACACACAATTCGTAGCTGCGTCCAGCGGCAAGGTCCCGAACCAGGAAGTCATTGCTGCTGGATGGGATCATCCTGATGAAGACAAAAAGAAAAAGAAAAGAAAAATCTGTATGAATTTCATAAATACATACAGATAGAGAAACAGTTTGACATATCCAGTGATTCTTTAAGACATAATGAACACAAACGTGCTCTGTGACATGGACATTTGTTAAGTCCACACTCACACACACTACTGTGGCATAAATTAGACATATACTCTTTATTTTGGGCATTTAAGCACCTGAATTAGATGAATATAACAGGGAAGAAGCAACCTTTGCTGGAAAGCACTTACATCTAAATGTTATGCCTGACTTGTTGGGGACTAATGCCTTGCAGCAACTCAGTAATCCTCCTTGACTGATAAGCAGACACACTGTAACCCTCTCACAGACATATTTGTATACAACACACTGGTTCCAACATTTTATTATGATGTTACTCTGTTAGCTTTATCAAATACAGAGCCACATTTAGACGTGCTGACAGGTAAACACTGCTCAGTGTGGTATAATGTAACATTGTGCTGAGAAAACCTGCAGCCTTGCATTCACGTGGACGCTGCTTTGACATTTGCTGCCTACCTAAACAATTGTAAAGATCAATCACAGCCCCATATGGCAGCAGCACTACCCGACACGGAGTACCTCCTCCGGCAGGACAAAAGTAGGCCTGACAAAATCTCATGCGAAAAGACTCAAAAATATGACAATGAGCCTGAGGTAGCCAGCAGGAGTCCACACTTTCCAAATATCAATCTGACTGTTCTTTTTTGGAGAGTAAACTGTAAGTCCGGTCTACAGTCAACAGGGTCAAAAGAAAAAGTGGCTAATGTTGTGATACCAGACACTACAGGACGCCCACTATGTCCATGATGAGTCAGAGATCCTGCTTTCACAATTGAATCTTGGTTTTGATGTTGTGGCTAATCTCTGTGAAAATACAGACAGCACTTGAAGTGAAGAGCCTCACATGGGCTGGGCGTCGCATTTAGATTTACATCTAGAGTTTGGATGAGAAAAGTACAATTTGTTGATGGAGATGTCAAAAAAAAATTCAGACTTTTTAGTTGTGATGTTTTAAATTTGTGCAGCATTTATGTTGGAATGAAGGCAAATATTTCTCCTAACCTTTGTGCATTAAGCATTTTTCTTAATAGCGAATGAAACCAGCATTTGTAAAATATTTAGTTTGAACATACACCCAATGGCAAAATGTCCTTTCTTTTTATAGTGCATTGGATAAACAAAACAAAAAAAAGAATTAATTTAAAGGTCTTTATCACACGTTAAAAGTTGTGTTATTAAACACACAGTAGTTTTAGCTTGCTAGAGTCCATCATTAATTGACAGTCATAAAGCTGAAAGTGGAATTCTCTCCTCGTTGTGCATTCATCTTTAATCTAACACCTGATATGTCTCCTCAGCCTTTATTAGTTTCTACAGGAGCGGTTAATCACTAAATGCAACAAAATAACTGTGTTCATGATTTAAAACATGGTAAATGGCCTGTATTTGATGTAGCACTTTCTAGGGTCCCGGAACCCCCAAGGTGCTTTACAACACAATCAGTCATTCACCCATTCACACACACATTCACACACTGGCGGGGATGAGCTACGATGTAGCCACAGCTGCCCTGGGGCACACTGACAGAGGCAAGGCTGCCGAGCACAGGAACCACCGGTCCTTCCGACCTGGTGTCTTGCCCAAGGACACAACAACAGCGGCAAACTGAGCAAGGCTCGAACCTGCAACCTTCAGATTACAGGGTGAGCACTAAACTCCTGTGGCACCGTCGCCCTATGCAGAAAAATATGCAGGAAGCATGCTGGAAGCAGACCGCAGGGCTAACATGCCAGCTCCACTTTGCTATAGACTGATCTGGACACTCTGAAGTTGAAAGCGTGGTATTCTGGCCAAAGGGGGTGGTGGGGTCTGAGTGAATTTTCATTAACCCTGTAAAGCGTCGTTTTAGCACTTACTGGTTCAAGAAAATGATTTAAAAGTATGAAAATGTTGCATAGTAGTCCTACATTTATTTCACAAAGTATTCAATTTAGCAGAGAGTAGAGACACTAGGGGTTTAGATGTTTAGGGGTTTAGTAGTGACATTTGGTGGGTTTTCAGCCTTCCATGTCAACTTGGTCTGCATAAATATGCAGCCAAAATATCATTCAGGGAATCTGTGACTTAACATGAGCAGATTTATTCTGTTTGATTACAGGTAAATGAGCAAGATTTTGTTGATTGGACAAGTTTAAATAACTTTAAAAGATAAAAGAGCTTCACACCTGTTGTCATTTCTATTCTTCCAGACCACTGAAAGCCCTTTACATTGCAGTTAATGATGACCCACGTAACACACCAATTAGCAAATCAGGGACTATAGGGCTTTATTGTGTAGCCCCCACCACACATTTTCATTAGAAACAACGCCACTGGACTTCTGTTCTCCTTTTTCCAAGATCAGTTAGCTCTCTTCCACTGGCGTCTTTAGTTTGAAATATTGACTGGGATTGAAAAAAAATAATACAGGTAACCCTGAAACTCCCTGTCCCTTTGATAGTTACATATTACCTCCTTTTACCCATGCCAAACTGAGCTGTGCCGTTGTCAGTTCATCTCTACATTACCACCAATCACCTTGACAAGGCATGCAACGATGTAAAATAAAAATAAAAATCTCAAGACCTCGGGTGCCTTGAGTGCTTCTTTGAATTCTGCTGTGTGTTAAATAATGAAAGCTGCTGCACTGACACACACTCTATCATTATATGTTTCCACACAGTGCTGCTTGAGGCACAACTGTCACCTGACTGGTTTTATTTCCCCGCAGAGCTGAAATTCATGATTCTGTGATCAGATAAACACTTACACAAATCTATCCCTGACGATTGCAGAAAGCATCAGTCTTTGATTAAACAATCCCAGTTCCTCTCACATTTAACCTGTTCCTCTTCCTGTCAGAAAGTAAATGCTGCAGATCCCGTTTCTGCAAGTTTCCTGGTAGAATACTCAGAAAATAATCACCCCGATGCAGAGAAGCTATGGTTTCTGCGTGTTTAACTTTTGTCTTTGCTCTCCTTTAATCTGCACTTCCTCGGGGGGTCTTAAGTTCAGTACATCTCAGGGAATTGTCAAACACCCGTATGTCATTGCTCCATTTTATCTAACTCATATTTCCCTGCTGCCTCGTTCATTTGTTCCTCCAAGTACCGTAAATCTTGCTCACTGCTCTCCCCATCCTCATCCATAGACATAGTCCCACCTCTATGAGAAACAGACTGACAGGTTTTACAATACAACACTGAAATAAATCATAGAATAAATGCCAGTGTGTGGATTTGTGTTTATGTACTCTGTGTTTGTGAAAGCCTGTGGGCAGTATGGTGCTGGCTGGCTCATTCTCAGGGCCAGGTTTATTGATGGCAGGGATATTTCACCAGGAAGTTTAACTTGGCAGAAAGCAATGTTTGCTTTTTCTCACTCTGTGTGTGTGTGTGTGTGTGTGTGTGTGTGTGTGTGTGTGTGTGTGTGTGTGTGTGTGTGTGTGACCTTGTACGACTGTGAAGTGACGTGAACGCATCCCTGGACTGCATTCCTGATAGGAATCAGAGAACCTGAACAGTCGTTGCGTCTTGCTTAGGGCAATCACTTGATGTGATAGCACATCTAGGTTGGGCTTTCCCAAAAGAGAACGCAAACATAAAAGAAGAGCACAAACAGACTTTTCAAAACGTCTTTGTACTTGAAGAACATGACATCCCGTTGCTTTGTTTTTTCACTTTCTTCAGTGCAACAAACTAAATCAAAGAAAGTTGGTTGAACCTAAAGCTGCATTAAGTTGAGTATCCATTTTTTTATTGTTTTCATCTCCTGACCAAATAATTGAATCTAACACGTTTTGCCATGATTTTGGGTAGAAGTAGCGATTACATTTATTTTAAAGGGGTTCAGGCCAGATAGAAAGGAGCCAGTTGAGGTGGCTTGGGCGTCTGGTCAGATCGCCTCCGGGACGCCTACCTGTTGAGGTTTTCTGGGCATGTCCAACTGAGAGGAGACCCATGGCAAGACCCAGGACATGCTGGAGAGACTATGTCTCTCAGCTGGCCAGGGTTGAAAATGGATGGATGGATGGATGGATGGGTTCAGGCTAGTGCCACTCTGTGAGAGTGTGTGCAGTGATGTATGCACATTCACAAGGAGGTTGTGTCTCTTTCAGTTAGGCACTAAGTTAACTAAGAAACATGCATTTGAACACCAATCCTGTCAGCAATTCATTCCTGGTTCTTTACTTCTGACTCAGGCCACTCGTTCTGGTTCTGGCCGAGTTCAGGTAATCAGAATCGGCCATATAGGCTGATAATTCCAGCCTGGATCACTGCAGTTATGTCATCATATCCTCCTAGTTCTGCCCAGAGTCATGCAACACAAGCGGCCTGCACAGCTGTCCATCATGCCTGGTACTAAGCACTGAGGGCAATTCAACTTTCCCTGGAACAGTTTTCCATGATCAACCGCCAAAATCCCCTGGTTCTCCAATGCTGTCCCCTACTTAACTCCCAGCACATCTTTGTATGCTACTTGCATTTAAGGTGATAGTAAATAATAAAAATAAATAAATAAATAGGTGAAAAAAATTGGTAAATAATTCAAAGGCTTGAATTTCACAAGAGTGCAGATTTTACTGACTGCAGATCTTCTAACGGCCACATGGTGTGCTCTCTGCAGCGTTCTCTGGAAATTACACAGTGCAGCTTTAAGGAAAATGATGGTAAAGAGGTCTTTAAACCTCATTACAACTCTTTTTAGTTTTGCCGTAATAGAAGAAATAAAATAAAACATGCGGTGTTTCATGATTCAAATTGAAGCGTAGAAAGGTGTCCTTAGGAGAACAGTAACACGAAATGCATTATGTAAGTGTCGTGGCAGATTATAATTAAACTGCCATGGAAACAGAAAGTGCAAGTGTTAATATTTGTGACAATATCATATTCAGCGCTGAATTTCACAGTAAATATAGAGCTG